ATCAGTAACTTGCATGCCGCGGGCGCAAGCTCATTTGTGACTTCGTCATCAGATGGCGGCAGCGACCCCTCCGGGCAGAAAAGGGCCTGTACGCTCTTAAGCTTCTTGGAGCCTGTCAACGAGAGGTAGAGGTCAACGGTTTGCTGTGCGTAGTCTACCATATCGAATGACATTGCGTTCTACATCAACGATATAGTGGTGGCGCCCCAAAACTCTAAACACGGGCTCAGGAGGCTCAACATCGACGAGAGCAGTGAGCTCGTCCCAGAAAGCTTGGTGTTCTGCCTCTGGCCCTGACAACGTCAGGTCGTCAACGTAGGTAGACAACAAAAGCGTGCGATTGGGAAACCAGTAGTTTCCGGGAAACTCTGGAATCTCCTTGCCCCCAAGGCCCCTAATGATGCGAGCTAAGTGTTGCTCCTAAAGGCCCCCTGCGTCGGGATGGGCATAGAGTGCTCTGAGTAGCAACGCAACGGGCCGGGCGAACTTCTCCCCCCACCATTTCGGTCGCAGTTCAGGAGGAAGGTCAATCCACGTCTGATGCTTTGACTTTAGCAATGCCTGGACGTATGCCTTTTAATCGCATCTGCAGTCGTGGTGGCATGCCCCTGTAGGGCGCCATACGCAAGACAGTTGTTGAGGCCCTGGACAGAAGTGGGATTGGCACCCAGTTCCTGGTACGCAGCTGCGGCACCGCACTCGTCCTTTGCGCAGTCGCCCCTATAGACGATGCGTCCTTTGAGCTTCTGCAAGTGCTTTGCTAGCTCGTAGAACTTCATCGAAACTATAATTAGTCATCAACCTGCCAAAAGTGCTTTGCCTCGCTCTGCACATCAGCATATTCTCTGGGGTTAGATTCATCCTGCACGGGAACGGACCTTAAGCCATCAGCTTCGCTTCGAAGAGCTGCGCGAGCTTCAGGACTGTCGAGCATTTCTGCACGGGAGAGAAGCTTTGTGACCATTGCAGAAACTTCAGGACTTGACTTTTTCTCGGCTTCACGGCCACAAACTTGGGACACTAAACCATTAAGGTCGACGATTTCCTCCACTATTTGCGTAGAGGTCGGGTCTGGCCCGATTACAGCAGCAAAGTCATCGAGCCCTGCTAGTGGGGAGGTGTGCTTTAGTGTTCCTCTCTATAGGCAGCGGCTCATCAGATCCACGAGCATCTGGGTGCCCAATCTCTGAAGGCTCTGGGTCTTCTGCCTGTACAGGCTTCTTGCCCTTCCCCTTCTTCTTGGCAACAGCCCCTGACAGCAAGGTTTGCTGCCCAGGGGAATATTGCTGGCAAAGAGGCCACTAGACATGGCGGAAGGACCTCAGCTTTTGAGGTTATATCTTATGATCATCGATATGACCGGTTGTAAAAGCCATCACTGCAGATGCAAACCACTCAACTTAGCACAAGTGCTTCTGTCCCCTCACCCACAGACATCTTCTTCTCTCCATCTGCCTCCTTTAAGGCCAGGGAAACCTTGGGCATGTTCGGGGCTCACTCTTGGTGGCACCATTTGTGGTGGTCTCTGTCTTCTCAGAAGCCCGGGAATCATTCTTACTGGCACCATCTGGGGCCACCGTGTTCTCAGAAACCTGGGGCTCATTCTTGATGGCACGATCGGGGGTTAGGTTACCGTCTTCTCCAAAACCTGGCGCTCATTCTTGATGGCACCATCTGGGGCCACCGTCTTCTCCGAAACCTGGGGCTCTGCGGATACTCCATCATGATCAAGGATCACAGGCTCGGGCTCATCTGGGGCCATGGGCTTCACTGAAACCTCGGGCTCACCCGAAAACCCCTGCGTGGGCTGTGTCTCGTCCGTGCACGCATGGAAACAGTCAGGCAGTGTGCACTGACAACTTCATCGGCTCGCACACACAGACACACAGCATAAGGGGGCCGCACCCACACATGCCACAAGTGAAACATCCACGGAGAAGGGTTCAGCATAGCTCTTACGAGCCAAGATATGGCTGCTGGAAGCAGCCTGAGTGTTGTCAGCTGATACGCTGTTGACGGCTGCATGGGTGTACCTCTACAGATACACGACACATGTACATCAGCACAGACTGGAAGTATGCTCATGTAACAATCTTATGTATGTGTGTATCAGTGTATATTACATTATATATATATATATATATACACTCACAGAGAAACCAATCATTTCATAATTCGAGTTCTCTCACCTGAGCGAGTTTTGAGATATGAGGGGGGTTATGTATGGTGGCTTAAGCATCAAAACACCCTTAAATCCATAAAAGCGCACGAATTACCAAAAAGAGCACGAAAACTGTAGCCCGACAGGGTATATCAGTACAATAGCACGTAACAGCCTTCGAGCAGAAATAAGTGTTACGAAGGGTGCTCCAGGAGATATACTATGTACTTTCTACCCTATATCTACAGTCTATACCCTATGCACACTCCTACAACCTGCCTGCCAGTCCGCTTCCGTGGCCTGGCCGTTGGCTCCGTGCTTGCTCTTCGGGGCGAAAGCCAGACAGGAGCTCGTGTCCTTCTCGTAGCCGTGGAACCTAGGTTTGGGGGTCGAAGGTTCACCGTGTAGGATTTAGGGTTCAGGGTAGTTTTCAGGGTTTGAATGCTTCTGGGGCTTCGGCTATGAGCTGCAGTACGAGGGGCTGCGTGACCAGCTTGGATTGGTAGTTGCTCCCTTCGTCGTGGAGATTGAAGCTGATACCGTCGCTGGGAGGATCATCATCGCCCCTCATCTGGAGGGTCGACATCTTAGCCTTCGTCTGGCTCTTTCCTTGCTTGTCAAGCTTCCTAGGGGAACTACAGGCAAGCTTTGGGGTTCCACGATGTTCTACGGGGATTATGATGCCCAGAATAAGTTCAGGAGTACGTTGCTCTGCTACCAAGTTTCGGCTGTGGGTTTTGATCACGAGGCTATGACCTGAATGGTGCACAACCGGCGAAGCCCCCACAGCCGGGAACTTCGAGAGGGCGGCCTCTTGGATCAAGGAGGAGCCTCCCTTCAGGACCTTCCCCGCCGCTGTGCCCGCCACCTTGGCGAAACCCCCCAGAAAGTCGCTGAGAATGTCGCCCAGATTGAGCAACAGGCTGAGGGGGGGCACGCGGCCGATGATTAGTTCTCCCAGGCATGCCACCATGCTTTTTGGCGAACCCTTGCGCAAAGCATAGTTCGGGCAGTTTATGAGATCTTTAGCGAGCTCAAAGAGAGACTGCACGGCTCCACTCATTTTCTTTGGCCAATCGAGGAGGCCGAGGTCATCCGGACTTTCAGGCACGTTGCCGCCAAGTTTTTTAAAAAAATCACAGGCAGGACCGCAACCATCTTGCTCCCTGTTGTCCTGCAGGAACGAGGCTTTGTTGTCTTGACCTGCTGTCGCTTGAGCGCAGCAGCCGGAGACTTTCTTCAGCTCAATCTGCTGGAGTTCGACAACGCTTTCCTTGAGGGCACTTAAGGAACCCGGCGCCCTGAAGCCCTAAACCTTGGACTCTAAGCCCGGCAACCCGAGAGTTCTGCTTCCAGGTGTCAAGCTTGGCAACCTTGTTCATCAAGAACTCAATGTTCGCGGCCAGTCGCCCGATGCCGTGCATAGCTGTGGCATCGATGCTGTTGGCGCCAAGGTTCGGCATGTCGGCCAAATCCTTGAGGTCCTCGAAAGTGCTCTTCACCGTGATGTCAGACGGGTTGGACCTGTTGGTCTTCATCGCCATGAAAGGCGAGATGAAGAAGATCTGCCAAAACCACATGGCTTGCTTCATTTGTTGAGAAAAACGTCGAGAAAGGCGGGCACGGAGCTCGCGCGCGATAAGTACTGGCTTTCTGTCGGCACTTGAACCCAAAGCCAGGAATCAAATGACCCGCAGATGCTCATTGCAATACAGAGGCCGTCAGAACTAGAGTCGAGTTTTGAGTACAATAGAGAAAAGCATGACAAGGAACCCTCAGGAAGATCATAGAGAAGAACTCGGGCCCCTACATCACATGCACTCAAAAGTCCTAAAACCCATCGCCGAGTACTCACACTCCAAACCCTAAACCCCCATTGCCCACGGCCCGCCTCGGGCACAACGCCGCACAGCCCAAGTGCCAAGGCCAAGGCCACCTTCTCTCGTTCTCAGTGAGGAACCCGAAATCCTCAGCCATAAGACTCTAAACCCTAAGCCCTATAAACTCCTGCCCCCTTAACCCCAGACCCTACAGCCCTGAACTCCTATAAAACACCTAAACCCCCAAACGCGTAAACCCTACTCCCTTAGAAGCCAACGGTACGTCGACAGCCAGCAAGATGATGTAGCAAGAGGCTCGGAGGGGTGGGAGTTGAATTCAGCGCGTTTAGGGTGTCTGAATTAGGACTCAAGGGTTTTAGGGTTTAGGGGCTTAGGTTCAAAAGTTTAGGATGAAGGTGTTTAGGACTTAGGGCAAAGATAGGGGCCGAGGGTTTTTGCAAGACGGCTGGAGCTGTCGCTCATGCCCAAGTGCAACCTCGTATGCCTACAACCCTCACAGACCCTCTTCTGATGCTCCTCCGGCTTGAAGTGCCGTCGCGTGCAGACTTCAGCAACACGGGTGGCATTAAAGATTAGAAAAGGGTTGGGACGCAGTCTGCTATAGTCTTGTCGGAACTGCGGACACACCATTATCAATTACCTTGTACAACACATTCAGGGCCCCTATGTACCCTGTAACCTCGGCTCTGCTATTCAAACCAAGTAGGTATTGGTCAAACTTCCGTTGGGCTTAGCATTTTGGGGTCTAGCAGCCATCGGGATAGAAGCTGTCCTAGGTGTACGTCACGTCATGGCAGAGCATGTCAGAGCTGATGTAGGGACCTTCTTCTTCTGCGCTGGGCGAAAAGTCACAGGGACGTGTCCATTGCTAAACGAATTCAAAAGTGAAACAACTTGAAGAGTGTTCCCCCGGTGCCGCCTGTTGCCTGAGCCAATCAGAAAGAGGACGCAGCGCCGGCTCGGCGCAAGGCAA